CACTTTAGCCAGAGTTACTGCCATCACTGCTATTAATATTAAGAGAGATAATAAAAACACTAAGAATTGTTTTCTGGGGAGTGTCTTTCTTTAGCAACTCTTCCTCTGAGCTAACAGCTTACGCATTATGGCAAACATTTTAAAACAGTCTGCTCAGGCGTTGTTGTGGGTTATCCATGATACAGCTCTTCTAGGAACCTGATCATTTTTACCCACTGTTTCCTCCCCACAAATGGCCTACCGCTTCTTGGTGGCAGCATCTTCTCTGTTTAGATGTGTTTAGATTACTCTTTATTTTGAAACAATTACTATTGCTCTTTAGGAAGGTGGGGGTAGGGACTTTGGAGAAGAGCACAGAAACATTATGGGGGCCACTGCAGAAGAGCCCCTAAGAACCCTGTAGAATGGGTTACAAATTTTAGTGTAGGCAGTTTTGAGAGAAGTCAGGCCCAGCTTCTCAGAGCCTAGGAAATCAAGGTGATGGTTTTGACTTGTCAGTATATTGGGAATTGTATTATAATGATTGTAAACATTTCCTGTTACCTCTTGGATGTGCTTGTGACTGTTTTAGGAAGGTGAGAGAAAAGCATTGTTTTCATCTGGTCCAGTTGGTTTCATAGTTGCATAGAAGCTATGCAACTATGTTTACAAACACAGTTTAGTAACAAGTAAGCAATTGCATTTTTAAAGAAAGTGTGCTTTGCTTTATTGTTTTAATCTCATCTATATCTCTTTTGTTATACCCACTTACAGGGAGCACGGTGATTCCATATGATAAACACTGGACTACAAACTACAGGGTCCGCGATTTGAGCCCGTCAGACACTCTGAGGGAGAAAGATGAGGCTTTCTCCACCCAAAAGATTTTTAAAAACCTCAGAAAGCCTATGCAGGATCACTACAAGTTGCAACTAACGTGGTGGTGCTTAACAACAACATACCCACTTATAGGGAATGCAGGAAGCTAAAAGTCACTGGGGTCAAAGGAATGAAAGGTGCATTTTGGGTGTGTACTGGATCACTTTGTGAGTACTAGAAAAGGGTGATTTACTTAAGTGTGGTTGTGTGTGTGCATGTGTCTGCACTTCCTGGGGGAAGTTTTGAGTTGGTTCTTGTTCCTAGTGGAGTTTTGGGTCGGTTCCGGTTCCTACTGGAATTTTGGGTCAGTACTGGTTCTAGTGGAGTTTTGGGTCGGTTCCGGGTCATAGTGGAGTTTGGGGTCAGTTCCGGTTCCTAGTGCAGTTTTGTGTCAGTTCCGGTTCCTAGTGGAGTTTTGGGTCGGTTCCGGGTCATGGTGGAGTTTTGGGTCGGTTCCAGGTCATAGTGGAGCTTTGAGTCGGTTCCGGTTCCTAATGGAGTTTTGAGTCGGTTCCGGTTCCTAGTGGAGTTTTGAGTCGGTTCCGGGTCATAGTGGAGCTTTGAGTCGGTTCCGGTTCCTAGTGACCCTGTACCGTCCTCCTAATGGTCCTGCTTGAACGCATTGTTGCAGCCAGTGTGTCACGCCATCATGTTAAAGGAAGAACTGTGTCTACATGGTTTTCAGATTTTTCCTGTGCTGGAAAAGTCAAGAAACTGAAACACAAGGTTTTCCCTCAAAAACTGGAGGAAAATGGAGTTAAAAGACAGTTTTCTACAAACTTTTTGAACCCTCCCTCTAGCAAGAACAAGAGATTCAGTATTAATTAAATAATAAATTTGTAAAGACATCTATGGACTCCTGGTGTGGCGGTGTAGGATCAGCACTGGATTGTGAACCACAAGTTCAGATGTTCAAATCCACCAGTTGCTACTCAGAAACCCTATACAGGGTCGCTATGAGTTGGAACCACCTCTACAACACTCAACAACAAAGACATCAGCTTTCAACTGTTGTTGCTGTGAAGTGCCGTGGAGTCAGTTCTGACTCATCATGACCCTGTGTAGGGTTTGTAAGGAGCAACTGGTGGGTTTGAACCATCGACCTTGCAGTTCAAACTGACCTTGGGGTCCAGTGCACTATCAGCTGGGTGCCGTGTTAAATGTTTTAGTTGCTTTACATAAACTAACTCTAATGTGAGCTAGGGGGTGGTGGTAGTTAAGTTGGTTCCAACTCATGTAGCCTATATAAGGTTTCCGAGGAGGGGCTGGTAGGTTTGAACAGCTGACTTTGTGGTTAACAGTCCTACGCTTATCCTACAGTGCCATCCACACCAGGACGCCCATGAGTTAGCTGGTGGTGGTTGTTAAGACCTGTCAAATGGGTTCTGACTCATAGCGACCCTGTATAGCATTTTTGGGGAGCTGCTGGTGAGTTTGAACCGCCAACCTTGCAGTTCAAAATGACCTTGTGGTCCAGTGCCTCATCCTACAGTATCGTATCAGGATTGTCCATTTTTGAAGGAATTCCTGCATGGTGTAAATGGTAACGTGCTTGAGAAACAGAAAGGTTTGTGACTCGAGCTTATCCTGAGGGATCTCTAAAGCCAGGCCTGGCCTATTGCTCTAGAAAAGTCACAGCCTTGAAAACACTTTTGAGCAATTACTGACATGCACACATGGGGTTGTGAGTTAGAATTGGCTTATCGGCAACTAACGACAATGACAGTGATTCTATACATGAAGGAACTAAAGTTTGAAGTCTTAAGACACTTGCCTAAGGTCACTCAAATGATGGTTGGAACCAAAACTCAAGGTGGTGAGGGCTGTTGGACATTAACATTCACCATCTTACATTTTACACTGTGGTGGTTACTGCATCCACTGGAGCTGGAGGTGAGAGGACAGGAGGCACTTAGGGGCAACAAGTCTTGATTTTAGAGTGGGAAGAGGACCAGGTTTCTGCTGGAGTAAAGATGAGACTCAGGGTGTGGTTGGAATCTGAATCCAAGATAAGTAATCTGTCTACTAAAGGTGTTCACAGCATGTTTGGCCGCACAGTTCTTTGTTTTCAAAGATGTTTCTAATGAAGGAGGGGAGCTGGTCTATAAAACCTCTAATAAAGGTAGCAAAAGATGGGATGGTAGATTTATCCTTAGGGGATACTTATTCATTTGTAAGGATGTGGTATCTAAGTTGTAGATTTTCCTCATTCCTTGTTAAATATCTCTGAAAGTTGCTAGTTGCTGGCATCAAGAAGTCCCACATCTGTGGACACGCTTCCCTTCTGTTGTGCCACTGAACATGAAGCTTGTAACATCTTGATGTTTTTCACTCATCTCTCTCTCTCTCTCTCTCTCTTTTTTTTTTTTTCTAACCTGTTAATTGGTTTTCTTGTGTTTCATTATGAAGTTGAAGCCAGTCTATTTCATCTTGGACTGTTTATTTTTGACATGCCAGAGGTCTTGAAACATCATAATATTGTGTAATGAACATAACTTCTGCCTTGACATGTGGGTGTTAAGAGCATTAGTCATTGCCAAGTATTGAGTTAAATATTTTCAATAAAAGGATAATGATCTAATAGAGAGGAAGAAGTTATAAAAATCCTAGCTCATGGTGAGCCATCTACTTAGTGTACTCCATTAGTGATAGTTCAGAGACTTGTAGAATGAATGTAAAAGCAACCATGCTATTTATTACTGGGGCAAGAGAAAGACCCCCAGCACCATGAAACACTGACTTCTCCCATATGTCAAAGCAAGTATAAACCATCCAAGATTTCAATGTTTGTGCTCCCGGTTTATCATATCAAATAGCATGTATTTTTTTTTTTTTTAAGTTTTTATTGTGAATTGAGTGATAGTTTACATGGGAGGGTATCAGCTTTACATTCATTCTATTGTATTTTGTTTCATTGCAGTGATTGCAATCCTTTCCATGCATCATCATTCAGTAATATTTGCTTCCAATCCCTCTGTGGTTTTTTTTTTGTGTTTTTTTTTTTAAGTACACTGAAGCACTCAGAAATATATTCAAACAATAGCTTGCATTTTTAACTGCCATGAGGAAAGTTGGTGATTTCCATGAGATGTTATTGATAGGGATTTATATTCTGTCTTATAATGATGTCTCCTTGGCAGGCTATTGGGGCATCCTTTGCAATGCCATCTGTAGGAGCCAGGGCTCTCCTGAACAAACAAAGTAGGTCTTTACCTGTGAAGCTGATTTTTATGAAGAGTTTTGGTCAGCATTAGTCATTGTGAAACTATGTGCCCGGTGCCCTGGTTTATCTCTGTAGAATCACCCTGTGGCAGAAGATTGAATCCTCTTCTCTCCTTGTCTGTGGGCGCCTAGAGATGTCACAGGTATTGCCTTGCTTCCTCTTGGGGAATGGGTAGTAGGTACTGATCTTTAGAGCCGATGGTTGAGGTGAGCATTTGGTAGTCAGCTTAACCAGTTGATCTGCTGTCTTATTTCTTGGGGTTGGAGGTTTAAATTGGAGCCGCTGTGTGCCAGCTTTCCTTAACCTTGTCAGTAATCCCTAGATGTTCCGGTAAACAATTTCTAAGCTGAGTACCTTCATTTCCCCCTGTTAGAGCAGTTACAAACAAGGGTAATGCTTTAATGTAAGACTAAAGGCCAGAAACAAAGCCTGTGGCACCTGTTAACAATTTCTCAACAGTCTGCATACTTTCCAAAGAAATCAAAGTCAAAATCTAGCGCTTATCTGAGTAAATCTCTTTTCCAATATCTTGTTCATAACTTTTACAAAATTATTTTTGTCATCAAGTTAGCATTGTGTGATAATTTGAGGTTTGGAAGGTGTGTTTTGGGGAAGCTCGATTTTTCACAGCTCTGTGTCTGTGGTCATCTTTCTGGAAGGATTATCGATCTCTAGTTCCCCTGTGTAATGCGTTGAATGTGTTTTCTATCATTATAGATAAAGAGGTAGTTTTGAATGGGAGCCAAGTAACCTGTTGATGTAAAGTCTTATTTTACCTTTTATGATTATCATCATTAGCACCTCCCTCTTTCCTGGCTTAATTCCCTGTCATTTTATGTAGGCAGCAATTACTGGTTAGCTAAAGAAGCCAGCTCCTGCTGCCAAGGAGCTTATTAATTATCGCTCTATCTCTAATTTAGCCTTCCCTGTGTTGAGAGAAGGTGCAGGTAAGCGTGTGGCAGAGCAGCTGCGATCTCATCTTCGTAATAATCTCTTTTCCGAGACGGTTCAGTGGACTCAATGTTCAGCCAAAGGGCTGAGGCGGCTCTGGTGAGTGTTGTGAATTCTCTGTAGGTTGTTCGGACAGTTAAGTTTGGTGTGGTTTCCTTCTTCTTTTGCTTCGGACCCGAGTCAAAGCCTAATGCTGGGAATTCACACCTCTTTGTGGTCCGTGTCGTGCCGGAACTCAAATGGGACCCCTTGACAATACTTTAGAGGTTTTTCCCTGTGCTATTTGCTCTCCCTGTGAAAATGACATCATGGAATTGACTCTCTGCCTGTCTTCCAGAAGGTAATGGAAGTGATAACCAAAGGAGCTCAGGCTCCAGACTCTTGCCTAGCCAGATGTTTTTGTAGAGGTGATACCTTGGTCTGTAATGTTGAATCCTTGGGCCTTGGTGTTTATGGTTCCTAAATGGCTGGATCACTTTCTATGTGTTTTCAGAAATGTTCAATTTACTCTTTTCAGTGAACATTATTTTAAACAGTTCTACTCGAGCATTCGATTAGGTTTGGAGGGCTCAGCTTTCCTTTTCCACTTTGTATGTTATTTTTGGCAGTGTTGAGTGTTTGAAACCGGTGCAGTGATTTACTGCAAAGTGAATGAGTTGTCCAGGTTTTCAGATGCTTTCCCATTGGCCCCTCACCCGCTACCCGACCCCTCACATTTTCTTTTCTCCCTCTCCTCCTGGTCTGCTATTGTAGTTTCTGTCAGTCTTGCCGGCTCAAATAGAAATGTGGATGTTGCTGAGTTTCTTAAATTACAGCTGGTGGGGATTAACAGAAATTGTAAAACAGTACCACTTCCTCATTTGACTATTTTCTTGACTAATTACTGTCCTCTCCAGCCCTGGAAGAGGACGGGGGTTTGAAAGCAAGTTCTGTGTCCTGAAGTTCAAAAAGCAATTTTCCTTTTTCTTTTATTCTTCAAAAATATATTGAGTATATAGGATGCTGCTCTTGTGTTCCCTGTAGTAATCCCAGGTTTTTCTTACTCAGGGTTTTGCATTATGGACAGTCTTTAACCCTGGCCCAAGGGTTTTTTAAATAATACTTCCCTTCTGTCACTTTCCTTATATAGAAGATTTTTTACTCAACACTCTTTTGCTAAACTCCAGACTGTTAGAGCATTAGTTGAAAGGTTTTATATATGTTATTTTGTCTAAAGCCATTTCTTCTTTAAGAGATTCTGACCTGGGTCCCCACTGTTTCACCATTTAGAGTCTGAATTTTATTGGTGAGCACTTTATTGACTAGACACCCTCAAAATTTATTTCCTGTCTCTCCCTTTTCTTGTTTTAGCAGCTAGAGGCAGGGCCCTGGGCTTTCCTGGGGTGTTTGAGCGCCAACTCCATGAAGCTGGTCCTGTAAACTCTCTGGGATTCTGGGACGACATTGGAGCCACCTGGAAGTGTGCATAAAGGATGGCTGAGCGCCGCATGGCAGTATTGATTGAATTGCAGTCCCATCGAAACAGAAATAGAAAGGGCTCAGCATTTGCACTTTCCTCTGGTGGTGATTTTGCTTATTTTGTGTATTTAGAAAAGGCAGCCGTATGCAAACTGCTGACTTACTGGTTTCCCTGGAATGAGAGCCATTTGGATGAATTCAATGAGTATTAGCTAAGATCTGTTTGTTCACAGTATCAGTTTTGTTTTCTGGTGTCCTGTTTAGAATAAGACCAGAATGTGTCTTTTTACTTTATGGAAATAGCTGCTTTTGGGTAACTCACAATTCTGCAAACCACCATTTGAAAGAAATCAAATGTTTACTCCAGAGTCAAAATGGAAACGCTTTTGTAAAAATTATAGGTGCATGAATATTTCCATTTTGGGTCAATGATTTATTTATTTTTTTGGCGGGGGAAGTAAATTATTTAAGATTTCAGAGGATCCCCCTTTCCAGATTAATTTTCCTACTGATTAACTTGCCCACTTTAAAAAAAAAAAAAGAAAAGAAAAGTGAGATTCAACAGAAGAATTATAGACTGAAATCGTGTGTACAGGAATATTTCATGTAAGGTTTGTTGTTGTTAAATACCATGGAGTCTGTTCCGACTCATAGTGACTGGTTATTTTCTGTTGTCTTTGATGACAGAGTAAATTAAGTTTAGCTGTTAATGTTTAAATTCTAATAAAAATAGATTTTGTTAGTCTACAGACTGGTTTGAGTTCCTGAGTATATTTGTAGCTGTCACCCTTTGGGAAACTTACACTATAGAATCTGTGTATACCTAGTCAGTGCTTCCTTCTAACACTAGCGTGATGAATTTGTTGAACTGATGCTTTAAAATGGTGTGGTGGTTAAGTGTCTTCAAGTCAGTTCTCAGTCGTGGTGAACCGGTATAAGATTTCCGAGGAACAGCTGGTGGATTTGAATTGCTGACCTTGTGGTTCACTGCAGTCCAATGCTGATCCTGCAAAGCCACACCCAAAATCCTTAGAATGGAATATATATCTGAAACAATTTTTCTTACGTCACCCCTGGAGTTTTTGATTTAATGGGCATTTTTTAAAGTTTGTATAAAGAAGGAAGGGAATGAAAGAATAGATATGAATCAGTTGGATTCCTTTGGGTTGGGATATTCTTTTTAAAAAAAACCCTTTCTATTATTTATTAGTCTACCTTGGTAATATAAGAAAATAGAAATTGACTAGCTAAGGGAAGGTGGGAATTAGAGATTTATTATAAAGCAACAGTGGGAGCTGTATATTTGGGTATCTAATCAAATGTGTATTTCACTAGGCCTTTGACCATGGCTGTTTTTGCTCATCATTCTATCCCATCAGTAATACCACATTGTTATTGTTGTTATGTGCCGTGGAGTCGGTTCCGACTCATAGCGACCCTGTACAGGGTTTCCGAGTCTGTAAATCTTTACGGGAGCAGAAAGCCTCATCTTTCTCCCACGGAACAGCTGGTAGTTGAACTGCCGACCTTACGGTTCGCAGCCTGATTCATAACCGGTATGCTACCAGAGCTCCTTAATACCATGTTAGGCATCCTAATTATTCAATAAATGTTGAATGAATCAATATACTTGGAGGCCTGGTTGCATCACTTGCTGTACTGTTAACCATTTTTGTGCCTCTGAACAGTCCATTTATGAGGACTCCATCTCTTAAGGGGTCACTATGAGTTGGAACGGACTTGCAGCACTTAACAACATCTCTTCTTGCGCAGTGAGGGTGAAGACTGGATCAGGGAAGAGTCTGCGGTGGTTTCTGGGCACAATGGTGTGTTTCAGTGTTTTAGAATTCTCACTGTCTTGTGGGACGCCAAGGTTCAACTTCTGGCCATTCTCTATACGCACAGTGCTTCCCATCGGTCAGTAGAGACTTGTATGTTGTGTTTCAGTTGTGCTTCCAGTGGACTAGAGATGGACTAGGAAGGTCTGGGGATCTCCTTTGAAAGCCAGCCAGTAAGAATGTTATGGCTCTGCAGTGATCGTGGGGATGGTGCAGCGCGGACCAGGTAGCGGTTTGTTCTGTTGCGCTTAGGGGTTGTGGATGGGGTTGAGGTGAGTGTTGGGTTCTCTCTACAGCAGCTAACAAACCAAAAAATGTGCTGCCGTTTCCCTCTGCTGCACCATGGTCGGTGTTGGTAGTGATTACCTCACGTTTTCCTATAGGTTCTGGAAGAGTCGTGGGCTTCTGAATTCAGTGCACTAGGCTTCTACAACTCACCGTGGATACAAGTGACCTTCCTTCTGAGATCCGTTACTTTACTGTGCTTTTGAATTGGTTCTGTGCCAACTAACAACAGCAAAGCTTAATTATACATAGGTAAAGTCTGTGAATGGGGCCCTGGTGGCTTTGTGGGATAAGCACTGGGCTGCTAACTGCAAGGTTTGGGGTTCCAACTTACCAACTGTTTTACCTGATAAAGATGAAACTTTATGCTGTTGTAAAGATTTACAGCCTTAGAAATACCATACAGGGTCACTATGATTGGGATCTACTTTCTGGTTTTTTGGAATATCTGGAGTTTACAGACTATGGATAAGGAGCTCTGGTAGCGTAGTGGTTACGAGTCGTTCTGCTAGCCTCAAGGTCAACAGTTAGAAATTACCAGCAGTTCTGTGGGAGAAAGATGAGGCTTTCTGCTCCTGTAAAGATTTACAACCTCAGAAACCACATATCAGGTCTCTGTGAGTTAGAACCGACTCCATGGCATGTAACCACTACCATTACCATAGACTATGGCTAGAAGAGATGTTAGATCAGGGGTTGTTGTTGTGTGGAACATTTTGTCTGTCAAAATTTACATCATTGTTTGTGGGCCATACAAAATTATCAAGTTGAAAAGTAGCCTGGTACATTTGGTCAAACGCTGAATTGGCTCAATGCCAACGTGAGGGCTGCAACTGCAGCTGCCTTGGCAGGGCCAGACCAGATGATTTCATAGGCCTTATATGGCCAGTGGGCTGGACAATCCCGACTCCTGCATTATACAATTCACTACATCACAGATACCAATAAATGATTGTTGCTGTTGTTAAGTACCGTCAAGTCGGTTCTGACCCATAGTGACCCTGCACAGGGTTTCCGAGGTTGTAAATCTTTACAGGAGCAGAAAGCCTCATCTTTCTCCTGCGTTACCACTGGTAGTTTTGAACTGCTGACCTTGCGGTTCGCAGTCCGATTCGTAACAACTGCACTACCAGAGCTCCTTCAAGAAACGATTAGATAGGTAAAAATTTTTACTTTTACTTTTTGGAGTCCATTTATCCTTATTGCAAGTGATTATCAACCTGCCATGGAGCCCTGGTGTGGCGCTGTGGGTTAATGTGCCAGACTGCAAAACCGTTTGAACTGCAAGGTCGGCAGTTCAAGCTCACCAGCTGCTCCTCGGAAACCCTCTATAGGGTCGCTATGGGTCGGAACCAACTCGATGGCACTTCACAACAACAGCATGTGCCAGACAGAAGGTCGTTCCCATGATTCAAAGGCTAAATGAATGCTCTCCTGCTAACCATCAGATCAGTATTGAAAACTCCCCAGCTGTTGTGTGGAGTCATGATATGGGTGACTGTTTCTGTAAAGATCACA